ATGTGTAACATCAAGGTAATAAAACAAAACTATCTTAATCTCTTACATGTGCAGTATAGTTTCATTGTTCTTGCTGTATATTTGGGTTTTTGTTATCTTCACAACGTATTCAAATTGTGCAGTGACTAACCAACAACCTACAAGCTGTCACCTCGTTCCACCCACTTTTTCATTTAATGACTGAGGTACAGAACAGCTCTAATGGCTTGTGTGTTTATTAGAGAGGCTACATTGTTTAAAGACACGTACACACCAGAATGAAATTCAGAAGCACGCACCACATAGTGTCCGTGATAATGCAGGAGATGCTAGTCATATTTTCCATGGCATAGTTTTTTGGATTCTCTGAACAGGTCTCCAGTATTTTTTACTCTAGGTACCAGATTGTAAGGCTGCATTTCTCCTTGCAAGACCCTCAGTGTTGAAATAATAATTCAAACTGGAGTTTAATGAGACGTGCTTTCTCCAGCAGTTACAGCAACAGCTATGTTTTCCTGCACCACTGACGTGCATCTAAGTGTCACCTCTTCTCTGCATGAGAAAGGACTTCTAGGCCTGTGAACTGCTGTGATTTCACCAAGTGGATAGGTCTTTCTGTCTTTTTGTCTGTATACATAGCCCTTCACAGGTGGATCTTTGTTTCCTCATGTCTCCTAACCCTTCTTTAACTGCTTTGTCTGTGCCATGCACCATCCTGCCCTCTCTTCAGCCTCCATAGTCCTTTGCCTCCCTTCTTTTTAGATGATTTTTGTAGTGTTTAATGTGGTAGCTGTTGCCAGCACTATCCAACTGGTCTCCCTACTGCTCTGCTGAGTCAACCATTTCAGATACAATGCTTGTATTGCTGGTAAAGGTCTCCAGTGCTGCTGCTCCTATAGCCACTTGCAGAACATTTTCCTCTTCGGGAAGCAGTGATCTCCTTACAAGACGAGGGTGTCATAGCTATGCGATGCATGCTTTTCTCTTTCTCCTTGCCCTGTGGCTTCCAAAATAAACAGCAGCATTTGGAAGAAACTGACAGTGTTTGCAGCACTCCAGAACAGTGTGAGGTAAATCCCTTTTGAGTGGTACTTGTACTATCCTGGGCTCTTCATTTAGGGCTGCCTATCTTAAGCAGGAATTAAACATTATTTTAAAATGTAATTGACTTGCCAATTTAAAAATAACGAGGTTGACAACAAATTGCATGGCCAGAGTGAGCAGTACGCTGGATTGTTCAGCTTATAAAGGGTCATGAGGTAGCTACGCTGTCTTAATGATCTTCATTATTCTGTGAGGAGATTTCCAATGGCACAAAGGACACTGATATTCAGTGAGAGATGGGCACATAGCTCCCAGTTTTACCTTTGAAAATGCCCCCCCTTGTATATGTGGTTATGAGCAAAATCTCTTTAGAATTTGTGCATAATTTCTGTCACTAAAAGAAAGTTCTCCTGTGTCAAAACTTTACACATGTTTGCGATAGGATTACAATAGGCATGCATTTCTTGCATCCACAATGCCAGATCCTGGCCTCTTTAGAGGGTTTGAAGTGGAAAAAGAGAATAACAGACATTTACATTTTAGATTGATAAAAACCTAAATTCTTACTGCTGGAAACTGCAAGTTAAATAGATGAAAGAGTTGTTAACTGATGTTGTTATAATGATGGTCTTATGCTTGAGCAAATCCATTACTTTCACAAAACACCTGCATCTCCTAGAATTTTCCCTTTGCACAATGTCACCTGTCAGTGACAGCAGAGCTGATTAGCTGTATAATTTACAATTGACTACATCTGTTAAGAAGACAGTCCTGTAATCCATCTTTTCTTTTTGTAATGAAGCTGAGGATGGGGTTAAGTAGTATGAGTTTTCACTCTCCTTCAGGTCATGGAGGATAACTGGTACTAATGGATTCTAAGCCAGAAAACTCACGTCTTGACCTGAATGATTAAAGTCGGTTTGTTGGGTTGGTTTTTTTTTTTTTTATCGTCCAGCAAAAGTGAAGCCTGAATTGGCTCTACAGAAGCCAAAAGGTCTATCAACCAGACCACCTAACTAAATCATTACTAGTCCGGGGAAGAAAGTGTGCTAACATTATACCAGGCTTCTCTCTGCTTCCATGTTGATGTGTAGGGATAGGAGATCATTTCAACTGAATGGGGCGGAGTTTGTGTCACAGTGCCAAATGTTGTATAAAATGGAGCAAAGTGAACTTCTATTTGACAGCGCTTTGCTCCTTCCAAAGAGTTCTTACCCTGCCTGATCTTTGTGGGAGCTTCAGAAGTTTTATAGGCTGTGAAAGAGTAAGTTGGTTGTTCTCCTTTCAAATGTTTTGAAATGAAGGTTTAAATGAAAGCCAAATCTTCTTCAGGTTTTTCTCTGATCCCAGAGTAAATGTATATAGACACGCATGCTACTCTCTTTAGAGAACTCCATGTCCTGTTCACACTGGGACCCTGGCCATGTCAGTTACAAACATAGTGAGACAGAGCCTTTGTCAAGCATTTGTAATTGGGTTCTCAGGGCAAATGCCTGCTTATACTGGTCAAGGAGACTGTTAGAATCCTATTTGTGACACCATTTGTTACTGACATTGTAGCTACCCACTCTCTGATCCCAGTAATAAATAGAGCCTTACACATATAGCTTCACTAATATGAAGGGGGGCATGGCATTCCTGTGTGTCCAGAAGAGAATAGTTCCTTGTAGTTCATTTGGCGCGGTATAGCATTTGTAGTGTCTACGTTTTCTAGATCACCTCTCTCTAGTTGTAGTGATCTGTGGCATTGTGACTCTCTTCTTTACAAAGTGGGGTAGTAACTATTTTACTTATATGCAAAGTTGTTACAAGGGGACATCATACTGGGCAAAAATACCAATTCCTTGTCAAATGTGATTAATAGGTTTTCCCATTTTCCAGACTCCTGTGTGCCTCAGCTCTCCTTTTGACACGTGAACTCTCCCACCAGTCCCGTTCAGTCCCTTCAGTCCCCTCACACCTATTGCAGACCTTGTGCCTGAGCTCTGAAAACAAACATAAATGTTGGCCATGTTTAAGGGTGCAATGAGCTTTTTCACCAGACAGGCCAAAGGGATCAAAGCAATCTAGATACTCCCAGTGAAATGGCATGTGCCTTTTTACCTACCCAATTTTAGCAGTAATCATGAGTCCTGTTTCAAGCATTGGTTAGAAATAGAGGACTTGTGACACCTTAGAGACTAATACATTTATTTGAGCATAAGCTTTCGTGAGCTACAGCTCACTTCATCGGATGCATGCAGTGGAAAATACAGTGGGGAGATTTTATATACACAGAGAAAGTGAAACAATGGGTGTTACTATAAAAGGAAGATAATGTCTGTCTGTATCTGTATGAGTTTTTTCATGAAGTTGATGGATTTCCACTCCATACTGCTAAATTCAGTGCCTTGCATAATGACAGGTTTCAGAGTAGCAGCCGTGTTAGTCTGTATCCGCAAAAAAGAAAAAGAGCCACAAGTACTCCTTTTCTTTTTGCGGATACAGACTAACACGGCTGCTCCTCTGAAACCTGTGGTTAGAAATAGTTACAGAGGGACATTGTTACCAGTAGACTCTTCCTGTCCAGATCTAATTGCTTAGCATAAGCACAGGGTGACAGTCAATCACTCAAGTACATAGAGCCCTGTATTATCTAGGTACAAAGACCCTTGAAATGCGGCCTTTTGCACATGAACAGCCAGTGTAGATCATGGAGGTAAGACCATTCCTGTCCTGAGGAGCAAGTATACAGACATGTTCTGCAAACACTTATGTTTCTTTCTAGATCCTTTTTTAAAGAAACCCATTAAGGAGCATGTTACATCAGCCTAGCCTGGGAGACAGCAAAGGCGTGGAGTACGTACATCTTTGTAGTTCACACTTTCTCTCCCTACATACTGCAGTGATTGGGGTCCCCTAAATACCTATGAAAGTGATTCAGCTGAAGATTATACTGCTGAGATAAGATAAGACATTAATCATTATCCAGAACTTTTGTCCAGTGTCACTTAAGAAACTCATTCCCATCTCCTCCAGTAATGCTGCACTGGCTGCTACTTTGCTTACTGTGGTAAGATTGAGACATAGCACATCCACCAATAGTTCAGATTCTTAAACTGAAGGATTTGGGGGGAACTGAAACCAAAATGAGCTCTTAAAGAGGGAGTTCTGTCTTTCAGGCACTCTGCTGCCTAGTGTGTAGACTCTAAACTCTTTCCAGATGAAAAGCCCTGATTATATTTTTATATGAGCATGAAAAGAATTCAGCATTAATTTTACATCAACATAATTTTATCATTCTTTGTTACTGCCATTTTTGAAACTTAATACATGAATTTACTCGCTATGCTGAGAATTTGTAGATTTAAATGTGGAGGAAATTTGTGCCCTTATGGCAGATGCACAGCAGACTTCAGCATTAACATAACTCATTAAAATAAGATAAAAGTAGAGCTTCAAAACAATCTCTGTCTTTTGCCAACAAGCCTGTGAAAAAGGGAAATTTCATTCAATTCAGGATATGAAAGTCTTCTCTTTCTGAACTGTGGAGAGAACACAAAGCAGAAATTACAGACTTGTTTGTGCAGGTTAACTCTCTGGGTCGATTCAAAGCGTGTTTTGAGGTATTTGAGGATTTGAATACACAAAACTAGAGAACTTTTTCTATGTCAGTTTCTTGAGGTATTAAATCAGAAAGTACCTTTTGGGGGAATGAAACCTCCCCCCCACCACTCAGTCATAGCAAAATGTGCAGAGAGCAAATGGGTTTTATCTTGACTGCACACAGTTTTTGTACATTATCTCTAAGTAACATGATTAAAGGCAGCTCTGTCCTTTCTCACTCTCTCTCATGTGTGAACTGAGAAGAACAGTAGTTTATCCAACTTCATATCAGACTTGTCTTTAATTTTTTTTTGAAGGAAAATAGAATAAAATGCAAACTCAGTTATTCAAGCAAAGCTGTTTCAGTGTTTCCAATGCTCTGAACTTTACAGGAGGAGCCAATCACTTTTTGTGAAGAAACGTTTGTCTCTCATCGTTCTACTTCCATGAGGCAGTTTCTTCAGAATGCTATTCAGCTCCAGCTCTTTAAGCAGGTATTGTTTTAATTGCTTCAGCATTGTTGTAGCTTATTTCACAAAAGAACTGTTTTTCTTATCAACATTATTCCTATGTTCTTTGATCTACACTAACCATGTACTCAGAAAAATTAGTTCCTTAATTTAGTAATTAAGATATATGTCACTCCTTCAACAGTAACTTAATTTTTATTTTCTGGCATGGATTAAACCCAATTTATAAGAATTTCTGTATTTTAATAACTATAATTTATGTTCCCCTCCAATTGAAGTCCATAGCAAAATTCTCATTGGCTTCAGTTTGAGCTGATGTGTCTGTAAGCTTCAGTGTATAAACTAGGGTATTACTGTGCCATTTCAAGAAGGCCAAAAACCACATCATTGACTGCTCTGAAATAAAGAATTGTCATACTGGTTGGCAAAGTGATATTCCTTTCTCCAGTCTACCTATTTAAAGGCTGTCCCCCACAAAGACTTTGGAACTTTGTCCTTCTGGAGAAAGTACAGAATAATCTTTTGAAGTGCAGTAGAATTGAATGCTTTATCTGTTCACACATGTTTATTATACTTCCCCTGTTTTAAAGTTTATTGATGGACGCCTTGATCGTCTCAACTCTGGAGAGGGCTTCAGTGATGTTTTTGAAGAAGAGATAAATATGGGAGAATATGCTGGTAAGAAATATCTGTTCATTCCACTGATTTTTGGATAGTATCCAATACCTTATACTTTGTGATTTAATAGGTCAGAGAAATCACTTGCCTGAGTAATTGTACCAGCTTCAGTCTATGGGTTGAAGTGTGTTGATTGATGCTGTCCTTTTTTCTCTGGAGATCTCAATCCCAACTTGGATAAATAAATATATCCTTCATTGTCTGTTTGGCGTTACAAACCCCTGCCTTGTTCTGAGCAATACTGTCTGGTTAGCTATCTAACACAAAACTAGAACAGGTCTTGCATGTCAGAACTGAGAAACTTTGGAATTAACCATTGACACCTTCTCTTTCTTTTCATGACCATTAAAAAAAACATTAACTTTCTCAAATCTATATGAGAAAATCCAGGAAAAATAATAATTCCATTTACCCACCTTTCTTTCGCCCACTGGCTACCTTGTTAATTTTTGGTTATTCTGTTCCCAGAAGGGGAAAAGGGTAGACATCTTCTTCTAAATATCTATACTTTACTACCACTATACACAGTTGAACGCCAGCTTTTCTCATTTGTATCCCGTTTCTTATCAATAAAGAATTTTCCTCTATATCACCAGGGAGTGACAGACTGTACCACCAGTGGCTCTCTACAGTAAGGGTAAGAATACAGTATTCTAATCATTGTCGTTCTTATTGGACAATTCAGTTATTGCACCATTATTCAATTTCACTGGCATGAGCAAGATCAGCTTCTATCCCACAATATTTAGTTTAGACCAGATAAAACTAACCTAGCTAAAAGATAATGTGCTGTTAATATGGAGCGAAGAACAGAAGGGAAAACATAGTAAGGAAGAAAAATTGGGAAACTGAGTTTATATTTCTCATATTTTTCAATCCTGGTTTTAGCATCTTGGAGGCCATATGAAAGGCATGTAGATATATGCTGCTACCTATTCTGAACAGAGTTCATTCTTTTTCTTTTTAATATTATTGTGGAACCCTAAGCCACAGTGAAAAGCTGTTCACAAAGCTGAACAATGTGAAGTACTGAATAGGGGATAGCATTGTTTGTTGTAGCCTAGTATAGGCTGCAAATGAGTTTATCTGCGTCTGCTTAGACTAATGCTCTATTTAATTGATATAAATTAAATATACTGTATAAATATTTATAAATAACTTGTCACTTTATGTGAATAATAAATGATGATTTTAGATTAATAATTGGGATCTAACTTTAAAGAGTCCCTCCCACCATAAGTGATACATTAAAATTATCCATAGTTAAGGCTGTGTATGACTGTAAAATAATTATTTAGGGAGAGCTCACCTTTTTAAATATATGATCCCATTTTTCTCTAGCCCTGATTATGAGTAGAATTCTCTAATGCACAAACAGCTAGGCTGAAAATGATCTTGATCTTTGTGCATTAAATACATTTAAAATACCAATAATGCTTAAAAAAAAATTTTCACACTTGTTTACAAATATGTAGGATGCAAAATGGTGAAAGGAGAAGAGAGTATTGGTGTGAATGAATATAAAATCCAAGTGGTTATGTTCAGTAGTTTACAATTTTTTTTTTGTTAAAGTAAGATAAATGCTATGTAATAACATCATAAATATAAGAATACATTGAAGCAAAATTTGGCTTACTTCTGAAAAAATAATTCTATGTTAGGATAAACTATCATGGAATTATATGGAATTTTATTCCATGGATTTTACCCATCTGCTCTGCACACAAGATTTAGTTATCAAATAACGTACTATGCAGCAAGAGTCAATGGTGTTCAGAAGATAAACAAAACACTAACTAGCCTAATAGATTATTCTGTCTGACATATCACAGCCTTATATGTCTTTTAGTGTGTCCTCTATACACAGTTCAGCTTTTCTGGAATTATGCTTAGATTGTAGTTGGATTTCATGTTGTCTCAATTCTTCCCTTATCCCAGATTTTAGATATTAAGAAAGGCAGCATATCTGAGATATACAGAATCTGTAAGAAAGAAAACAAGGGCATGAAAAGGAAAGTGCACTGCAGAGAGTAGGGTTTTTTCAGTGAACGTACAGTCTTTCCTGTTGAGCTGGTAGGGTATTTTAGTATTAAACATGTTTATTACTTGAATGCAATAAGCAGGATACCCTTGGGGGTGATAAGAATTGTTATGGACACTGTTTAGTGAGAGCACCTCTGAAGAAGCCTCGATACGGTAAAGGGAGTGATTTTTATTATGAGAAACTGAAACCTTTATATTGCAAAGTTCTGTCCTAAAACATGATTTTAAATGGATCAGATTTGCCCTGGAAAAAGTAGTATCTAATCCTCGGTGAGAGAGTGGAACTATGTAACCATAAATAAAAATAAATTTCCATTTAGGCATATTGCTCTGATATCTAACACAATTGATACTTTCTGTTATTTCCTGTTTAAAATAATAGCTCTGGACTGGCATTTGCTTTAACAGCCTCAATGAAAATGATTCCATTGTTACTGTAATTACAGAAAGGAAGTGGAGCCATTATAAATACAGTAAAGACCAAGGCTAACCCGGCCATGAAGACTGTCTATAAGTTTGTAAGTACTGAGTATTGTCTTATGACCCAGACAACTGAATCTAACTATGATGCTGTGTTAAATGAATCTGTAGATTAAAGTTTTTTCTCTATACTAACGAAATTATTTGAACAAGATAAATGCGTATTAACAATAAAGTGCTAGAGACTAGGCCATTAAGCATGTATCCAGAAATGTTTTTAATTTCTATTCTTCTATTAAAATATTTTCTGTTTAACTGAAATACCAGTTTGAAACATTTTATACTAATTACACTGTAAAAGAAAATGAGTTTGACAGGTGATTTATCTTCAAAGTGCAGAAGTTGCTTTCCTATTTAGTAAATAGCACTATTTCCTGGAACGGTCCCTATATCCTGTACTAAACCCCTCTCCTATCTCATCATTACACTGTTGGAAATCCATTGTTACCCCTGGGCCTCTGTGAGCAGCTACATGGAAATGAGGGAATCCTCTCATTTGGCCAATTGTTCCAGTTTTTGTAAATGTCTGTTATTTTTCCCCAGAGATTTTTCATACCTGCTTATTTTGAGCCAAGCTTCTTGGGTTGTTTTCTAAATGAAAATCGTTCAGTGCTTGGTTAACATACAGCTAATAACTGTTATTGTAACATGGTTTATAACTGATCATTTCACTGCAGAGGGCTAAAACATATGGAAGCATGTCAAGATCTCTTCAATACTGAATTCTATGAAATATGACAAAAAGCAGTGAGATGTCTATTCAAACTATCCCTTATTGCCTGCCTCCAGCCTGACAAAGGTCCTGAGATTTAGGACCTGCCCTAGTAAAATGTAACTGGTATTCAGAACACTGCAGTGAGGAATCTTACAGCTGTGCTATTGCTGGTAATTGTCACCATGCAGCAGAGATAAATAATTAGAGAGAGGAAAAATCATGGAGGAGGAACTGGGGGGTGGTGGGAGGAACAAAAATCCCTGCTATCAAAACAGAGAAAACAAAATCTTTGCAGTATCATTAAAGGTTTTTTAACCTTTCAGGTTTGTATTTGTTTTTATAGCCATTATGTTTTCAACTTGATGATCCAATTTTTCCTTCCCATTTTCAATATCAGAGAAGGTGAGTCTTGATGGACTTAAATCGAGCACAGTCGCTGCTGGAAATAGAAAGAGATTTTTAACTTACATTAATTTTTCATGCAGGCAAAAGATCATGCAAAAATGGGAATAAAAGAGGTGAAAAACCGCTTGAAGCAAAAGGTACTTGAAGTTCTTATTCAAAATGTATAAGCGCTTATGTATGAAATACTTAGCCACAAAAAGCATTATGTGATCAATAGAAAGCTGTTTGATACAGTGTTGTTAGCACACTTCAAAATGCATTACCAGCTGTCCTGGATTTTTCACACTGTTATAAATATTCACAGACAAAAAACTATCTTCAAATACATTAAGGCTCTGACTTAAACCCACGAAAGCCAGAAAATTGAGTGTTCCATTTATCGTGGTCCCTCGCCTGCCCGTTGTGCCAAGACATTGTGGGAGGGGGCTTTGCATAAACTGGCTGATAACGCCTACAGTAATGACAGTGAACTTTGCTCCAAATGGCAAATTGCCGTTATATTCCTCTGGTAACTTCTCAGGGGAAATAACCCAAGGTTTCTCATTGGACACATGGTTATCACATGACATCAGTGTGAAGTTTAGGCACAGTGTTGTAGAACGAGGGTTGAAGTAATTTTTAAATCTGAATTTCTTGCAGTTTTAAGTTTGCCAGCACTTTGGCCTTATGATGATGACATTTTATTGTCTCTGAATTTCATTCTTTTTTGTGTTTAAACAGTAAAATTCAGGGAATGCTAAATTGTGTCTGATCAGTGTGGTATCCAATATTAATTGCTACTTTTGATGCTGTTGGGGTAGTCATATGGATACATATTATATGGATGATTCTGCCTTTAGGTTTCTTCTAGTTATTCTATTTAGTCTATAGTTCAGAGCCATTACAATCTATTGGGAATACAAGGTAGCCAATTTAGTAACTGCAAAGATCTCACTCAGAATGTTTTTCTGATTTACTGCACCTTACACAACTGCTGAATTTTAAAATCAATATTTCAGTAATTTAATTTGTTATTCTCAAAATACCCAAAGCAATCTTAAGGCTGTGTCTAATGGATATATCTATTTTAAATATTAATGGAAAAGTTCCTTCTCTGCCTAAACTTGTCAACTTATAAGAACTGATGGGTTTTTACCATCAAGTAGTAAGAATCAACTCATGAAATAAGGCCTGTGTAATGCAAGAACCAGTGGACCATTAGCTACAGTGTTGGGCACATTGGTGGAGATTTGGTTCAGTTGATTTAAAATAACCTCATATTTACTTGTTACCTCATTTCAGGTAACTGATCGTATAATTTGATCACAGAAAGAAAACAGAAGGCAATTTTTCTGCATGCAGCGTTTTCCTATGCAATAGTTAACTCCATGTGTTTTAGTTTCTGAACATAATCTAATAACTAGTGAAATTTGTTTCCCCATCCCCAACACATGCATCTGTAAAGAAAACAGCACTAAGTAAAATTACTGAATTTTACTGTACCATTTTTATTGCTAGTATTATATTGTGCTCTGTGATATTTATATACAAAAGGATGAGTCACTTTCCAATTAATGAGATATCTGTTATTCATTCATTTATTTAGCTTTATTCTTGCTCCCTCCCTAGTACTCCAGATACCTTCATTCATTTTAAAAAAACACAAACACCATTTAAAATTGAGTAGATCTAAAATCTTCCCCCAAAACGCTCACACTCAACTTTCCTCCATTCAACCTGTTAGATCCCATTTGGAATAAAAATGCGTTTTTCTTGCTATTTAGCATTTCTGCAAATAAGATTGCATTGTTAATCTTATACTTTAAAAGAATCATTATAAAATATTCATGTAAATACTCAAGACTTAGAATCTCTACCTCTCTTCCTTTCAGGTCACTCTGATCTTTTTTGCTTTTACCCACCCCTTATTGTTTTCAAGCACAACAATAGGCGATAATGTTAGAATGAGGTGTTAGTGTGTTTTAGGTAACACAAATGGTGAAACCTACTTCACTAACCATCATACTTTTTTTTAATGGAAAGGTGTCTGCACTGCTCAATTGTTAGCATATCCATTAGTGCACCCTTATCAATTTTCACTTGCTTTTACCAATTTCTGGAGAGTTTCATCTTTTTCATGTGCTTGCTAATGACAGAGTTATTTTGTAACTGAAATTCTGGCATCATTAAATACATACGTAATTTTGCTGATCTTGAGTGTTACTCTACCATTTTCTGCAGTAATTTAAAACTATTCTTAATTTAACTTCACTGCCTACTGCAACTTAAAATATAATTTTCTAGTATTAGTGTGAAAAGCGTGCAGGCTACTGGTAAGGAAAAGTCAAATCTAAACATCCCTTTTTCAGTTTTCACTGCCAAATAGGAGCGGTTTCTATACAATGATAGAATTTAAAAATGCAGTAGAGCTGGAGGTCTGCTTCCTACAACTCTGCATAGCAATGATGACCTCTTAAATATAATCAAGAGCCCATTTTGCCCTTGGTCTGCTCCAGCTTTGGGTTTGAATTGCAAATGGAAAATGTGGGATTGACCTATTGAGAGGTCATTGTGGTGTGTGTAAGGTCCTTCTTTAATACGATCGTGGAGATTGAATGGGGCTCTATTCCCATCCCTTGTTCATTTGTGGTACAGTATTTCAAAGCAACAGAAATAGTTTTCAGAGGATCCTTATGACTGATAGCAAATAATTGTTAACAGATACTGTATGGTAGCTTTATTTTATACCTGCTACAGTTTTGTTTTTGTTTTTTTTTTAAAGTAAAGGCAAATTTTTTCATTTCCTACATGGAGCAAGGTGGTCAAGTCACTCTGTTACTTGGCCTCCTTTGAAGCCTAACTGTATAGAATTAGGAAGAAGGAGGAATGTGAGTGGTACCATCCTCAACTTTCAGTAAGAAGAATGACAGGTTTCAGAGTAGCAGCCATGTTAGTCTGTATTCGCAAAAAGAAAAGGAGTACTTGTGGCACCTTAGAGACTAACAAATTTATTTGAGCATAAGCTTTTGTGAGCTAAAGCTCACTTCATCATGCATCCGATGAAGTGAGCTGTAGCTCACGAAAGCTTATGCTCAGATAAATTCGTTAGTCTCTAAGGTGCCACTAGTAAGAAAAATGTAACTTACTTAAAGCATCTCACTGTAGGTAAGACTAGACAATCTATAGCTTTAAATAAATGATCAGGCATTTCACAATAATAATTAATTCAACATTATTTTATTTACTAGATCTGTGTATGCCCTCTAGTTAAAGGTCTGTTATCCAGGCTATTGCAAATGCCACTTTTAGGGTTATATAAAATAACTTAAAGAATCCCTCTGGACTATGCTTTTACTGTTTGCTGTATGATTTATAATACATAGATTTTCTAGTCTATTAAATAAATAAGTAGTTAGAAAAATATGAAGGCATTCTGCTGATTAAATAGCAATTATTCAGTAGAGTGGCTACATTTTACACATCTGTAAATGTTCCATAGCCATACATATAATCTTTAAAAAAATTACTGTATTGATCTACACTCTGTCACCTGACAATGGGGTAGCAAATTCATACCTCAGTTTAGCAAAGACTTTTCCTCCAGGCACAGGTGTTAGGGTGTATCTGTATATGAAACATTACATACAGATACATATTGAATGAATGTTGTCAGTCTTTTCTGCAGAAATCAATAGAATATTTTTTATTTTGTATTTTTTCTAATTTCTTTCTGAGAGGGCGTGTGTGGTATGGTTCAATATTTTTACTTTGGATGGTTTCTTGTTTTAAACACTCTACGTAGCGTAAGTTTAAGTCCTGCCTGGACTTTTGGCATGTTTCATGGACAGCAATAGGATTGCAAAGTGAAGTATGGGAAGAAGAGGCTGAGGAGGTTTTAACTTTCCTTAAGAAACTTGTTTGTTAGCAATTATCTCCTTTGACGGTGTTCCAGATTTGAAGTCTTACATGATTTGAAAATTCTTGTGTCAATGCTGGTACTGAAGACAAGAGATTGCTTTAAAGGCAGCTCAGCTTGCCCTGGGTACAGTATCTGAGACTACAAGAACAAGGAGTCTGGTGTTATGCCCAAATAAATTTGTTAGTCTTTAAGGTGCACCGGACATCTTGTTGTTTTTGTGGTTACAGACTAACACGGCTACCCCCTGATACTTAGTACCCGAGACTGATTTGATTGCTTCTGACTTGTGAGAGTGTTTAACATCCCAACCTGTAGTATACCTTTCTGTGCTTTCTCTTCATCTAAGGGAGGGTTGTATCTCCTCCTACCAAATCAGTTGCACCCATGTTTAAAGGCTGTTTGTGAATTGAGGCTGCTGCACATAGACTGACATGACAGGAGTTTAACCTAGTTCATTGGATGGTTTCTGAGTACACTAATGCCAGACACCTTAATATTCAGTCATTTGTACCGTGAGCTCAGAGTCTAGTTCCGTTCATGAAGAATCAGGTTTCTGTGACTGTTTGGCACAGATGTGCTTTCAGTCATGAAGGCAGAAACATTTTTCAGCCAAGTACGTTCTATTCCTGATGACTGAGGCAGTGTTGTTGACTTGTCTGCCTGTTTGGGTACCTTTACAGATACTGAGGTCTTAAGTCACTTGTTCACTGATAATTGGTCTGTGAATCAAAACATGATGAATTCCTCTCTAATGAAATCTGTAACAGATCCCTTGCCCATGTCCTCAAACAGAAATATGTTAAAATTAAAGGCAAAATGGTGGCTAGTGTATTCTCTAGCACTGGAGAGAATGCTTAATGAACACTTGCTTCTCCCCTACATGCAGTGCCATCAGCTGAGAAGTGTAGCAGACCCATAAGGGGGAAAAAACTTCAGGGATTTGTAATAGTCTCACAGCTTTTATTGTGATTCACTCATCAGTCAGGAGTCTTCCTTGAAGCTGCTTTTCCTTTGCTTTGTTTTCGGTTTGCATTTTACCTTCATGTGCATCTTATGTTTCAAAATAATATATACTATCATTGTGTTATGGGGCTCCAAATAAGGTCCCCCTTGCTGGCTGTGGTGAGTTGAAGTTCTGTATCCTTTGTAGAAAGCTATCTTTCTCACAATAGTGTTTGTTGCAGGCCCTTGTTACTAATATGCTGGACTTTGTTACATTTTACCCAGAGAAGGTGGAATTGTACACCTATAAAAAGTTTCCTTCTATGGTTTCACTTTAACAAGTTATTAATTTCCCCACCACTCTTATGTCCATCTTGGTGAACCATTGCTCCACCAGCTGGATCTAAAAAGGTCTGTCAGTTTCTATGTGGAGCAGACAAAGCCCCTTAGAAAGTCCATCCAGTTTTTTGTTTCACTTGACCCAAACACATTAGGTCAGTCTGTGTCCAAAAGAACCATTTCTAATTGGCTTTCAGCTTACATGTCTCATTATTATACTTTAGCAATACTGAAACTTGAGGGGGCATGTCAAAGGTCACTCCATCAAAGCAATGTCTGTGTCAGCAGCCAACCTCAGGTCAGTCTTGCAAAGCTACAGTGTGTGCAGGTTTCCCTCTATATTTACCAAGCTTTATTTCCTTGACATTGTTGCAAAGAGATTTAAGGTTTGGGCTCACTATGTTGCAGGCTATTTCTCAACTGATTGTACCAACTCTTTCCATCTTCTTGATTCTCTGTAAGATGTCCGCATGCCTTTGTCTTTTCCAAGTCCATTCTTTATGTTTATATTCCTATGTTATATACACCACACACACATTCACCAAACCTTGTAACCTAGGTTGCTTGTTCATTTTGCTTAAGATCAGGACTTAGGTCAAAAAGAAACTGATCTTAGGCTGCAAGTTGTGACATGTATACTCTTCAAGGCATCATCGACACTGGCCACACGTGGGCCTGCTTAACTAGCTAAGCTGTGAATTTGCTCCCTTAATACCACTACACCTGAGCTTGTATTTCCATAGATAAGTGTTCTGTTATACAGAATTCTATGTAAGTACATAAAATTATATTAAAGGTACAACTTAAATGTACAAAATGCAAGGAAGCTCAGTTTCTAAGGTTGCATTCAGACCTTTCCTCATGGTGTTGTCTTTATTCTCACAATGCAACAGTTAGAGCTATGTTAGCCCTACCTTCCAAATTGCTGGCTTTTGTCTGTATAAGTCAGACACATTTTATTTAATATAGTTGGAATTTAATGTTTGTGTTTGCAGCTTTAGTATTTTATGGGATTTCTGCACATAGACTGTGATTAACAAAATACAATGAAATGTTCTATGCTAATTGTTTTATTTTCTCTGCTTTTGATTTTTGATCCTAACATCAAAATGCTTAGTCAGCTTTATCCTCTAGTACCTCCTTTTTGCCTCTTACCCTTAATCAGGAATGTTCCTGGCCATGTAATTCTCCTTTTCCTACCATACAGGACATTGCTGAGAATGGATGCTCTGCAACACCAGAAGAGTCCCTACCAAGGACAGCTCCTTCTCCGTTGAGTGAAAAGAAGGACCCTAAACTCAGAGAAGATAGAAGACCAATCACAGTACACTTTGGGCAGGTAGGTGATGTTAGATTTGTTTAAATTGTATTTGTTATAGATAGGCAAAAATATTTAATTGAAAGATTGTTCGTTTAAAGATCACTTTAGCCTTTTCATTAATTTTTACAGATCAGGTACATCATTCTGGGTTTATTTTCCATTTCACCTCCACGTTTGGGAGGCTCTTATCATGTTTAGTGGTTTCAGTAGTTTCTTTTGTGTATAAGGTATTTTTTTGAGGCAAATTATATTTTAGATCTATTTGCAAGAGTATGTACCATTTATTTACAGCAATGTAATAATAAACTATTCTGCCTGTTCCATTAGTGTGCATCATGCTACATCCCTTTAGTACAACAGGGTACATTATCTAAGGTGTCTTCAGTTATCTAAGCAGATCACTAGTGTTAGCACAGAACATCTAATTATTATTATCACTTCAGCAGACTTCAAAATTTAAAAGCAATGAATTCCAGTGGAAAAAATCAATTAATAATTCTTTAATAGTGCTCTGTATTTCAATATCGACAGTTGAGCTCCAAATATGAGCTATCCTCATTATGTTTCTGACGATGTGTCTACAAAAATAGCTGGTTTTATACAAACTAATCATGTAGAAAATGTTATATCAAATCATTAAAATCGGAATGGAAAAACACAGTGTTCACAATCCGCTTTCCAGCATAGCTTACATTAACAGATTTTATTTGTAAAAGATATTTTTGCCACTGTATTCAATGTCCTCTGTTATTCCTGATCTTTTTACCTTTTTTTCTCTCTGAGGCTCATTAGAGCACAGAAATGACTATCTGGTTTCTTAAAGGACAAATTTGGAATTAATATGGTTAAAAAACAGTGCATTATCAGAAAATGGAAGTTCTAAAATGACAGCCAAGCCATATTTTAGGTAAATGATAGTAATAGTAGTAAAGCATATGCCTAGCAAGTTAATATAACTAGATTTCTTACCATTTAGATATTAAATTGTGTCTACATATGTATAAGAAGCAGTAATTCATTACAGCATCTTATTTTCAGTTTTCCTTTTGATCTTCCTTTTCTTTATCATTTTAGAGTTTGATTGCATGCTTTTAGAACTTTGGCTGTTGTGCTAAATGCAGGTTGTTGGAAGTTTTCTCAGACAGATTGCGCCCCAATTAAATTTTTGAAGTGGTGGTTTATTTTTCATTTATTTTCTGCTCTTATATAGTTGAGGGGGTTTGGGGCTACTGAAGAAATGCAGCCACCTTAATCCACCAGGAAAACATTGCTTTTCTTTAAAAACCTTCTGAAATCCAGGCAAACCTTACATTTTTGTTTGGGAATCCTGAACCCTCCCCGCCCCTGCCAACCCTTTTACATTTGCATGAGCGGTGGATCATCCCAACACTTTGGTAGATTACTAACGTAGATAATCAAGTGGAAAGTGCTTACCCAAAATCATGTGGCAGGCAGGGGTATGATCACTTTCAGATTTTTTAAAGATCACTTTCTCTCTGTCAAAAGAAACACACATCAGCTTTAGTGAACCACTGGCAAAGGTGAAAGGCTCACTTGCTAAATGCTTATTACTGTCGTTACATTACAAATGTCAGTTTCCAAAAAATTGTGTAACTTGATAGTTCTAGAGCTATCTTGCTTACAGTCTTTGTCCTTCCACAGATCCTCCTTGTGATCATAGTGCCACACAATATAGACAATTAAACAATACTTCCAGTGCACACAATACTTCAAGTGGGTGAAAGGAGTACAGTTTTAGGAAATAAAAATTAAGGCTTTGAAAAAAATCAACTTCTACTATTTAAATGGTACATGAGCTCTAACTAGCGATTAAAGGGGGAGATTTTAGTGTCGCTTTTAACTCCTTGTAAAATAAGTGAGGGGGGAAAAATTGATTAAAAAGGCATGAAGACTGCTGAAATAAGCGTTGTTTGTGCATTCACAGGCCTTATACACTGGGGAGGATGAAAGAGGGTTTTTTCTTATTGTCACTTGCTTTCCATGTCTGCTAGTATTATGCTAGTGTATGTGGTAAAGGCAGAATTTTTTAAAATGCATGCATGCGGATTAGGGTCAAGCCCTGTGTATCAGTGATGCAGTTGGCTCACCCATACCACTGCAGCGCCAGAGCCTACCAACAGCAGCGATATGCCTTAATTGAGACATGCTGTCAAAGTGACAAACACATTTGCATACAGTCTATTTATTTTCGTTGGAAAGGTCTGCAGTCTGCTGTTGGTTGAACATTCTTAATCAGCTTGCTGTAAGTGAGCCGGCAGCTAGCTGTCCTATGTTGGTGCTTCTCTTCATTACATGACAGATTAGTTAAAGGGGGATGGGCTAGGAAGCCAGCAGCAACCTTTAATTTTAACTCATTATATCTCATCCTATTTTAAGTTAGTTTCTAGCATTTCTCTGATAGTTTTGTGTCCATACTAGCAGTTTTTAAATTGCAAAAACTATAAGTAAAACATCTTAAGCAGGCTAAATATTAAATGCTCAACTGTTCAGTACTGTTGAGAATTTATCCAGTATTATTATCTAGCATCTTAACTATTAGATTTTGCAGCATAGAGATTTTTAAGATATCTCATCTTGCTTTGCAATTACTTATCAGGCATCCCCTTACGGGGGTGTTTAATTTGGGTAGATAATTCGGTAAAATTGTTGACTTCTGTTCCTATAACTGCCCAGAGATTGAGAGAAGCTGTCCTTGGTGCCCATATGAATGACAAAACTATGTAATGGGTCATTACAGGATGGGACAATCACAGCCCCTTTCCTCACCTTTTATCTTCCATAGCTTTTCTTCTCTGCTTAGGACTGTGGCTGTGAGCCTAGCCCTAGAGTCACTCAGGTAGAAGACACTACCATCATGCACTAGGAACCCAGACAAGCTGTCCAACAAATAATAGTGGCAATGGCTGCAAAATCACCGAGTGTTTAGCCAGTGGAGAGAAGGGGGAATAATTTTAAAAAACCATTTGAGGGATCCAGGACGCTGGATTGTCACCTCATTTCTTTAGATTACTAAGGCTGCCTGTCTGATGCACTACTGCAAAATACTTCCTCTACCAACTGCTTGCTGACCTTAATGTTCACAGGGATCACTTTCTTTCCCTTGCTTTAAAGCTTTAGACTAGACTGCATCACACATTTATGTCCACCATTGCCACCCTGCCACATTGCTCGCCATGGCTATAAATGATGTGGGCCTCAAAATGCCTATACTGCACCTAACATAGACTTTGGAACAGGGCTGATGAGAGCAGCTGTAGCAAATGGCATACAGGGCAGGTTTGCTGATCTAGAAGTCATAGCTTTTCTTTCCATTCTCTCTCCAGGTAGATGGTACAGGTTTATCCTTTGCCCTTGTGAAGAATAAATACAATACTAAAAGGCAAAGAGTCATATAAACTCTTGGCTTGTTCCTTGTGATTTACATTGTCAGTTTAAATTTGAAGTCTGTAATAGGTGTTGTTCCATTTGTCACCGTAGCCTGTTCTCCACATGTCTCTTCTATACACATGGCTGTATTGGATGTTTGGCAAGACATAGAACTGGAAGCAGTTGGACCCATTATGATACAGGTTGTGATTATTGGTTAGAATGTCTGGGAAGAACTTTAACAAAATCTCAGTTTTCTTCTCCCACATTTGAAGCACTCATGCCTGCAAAAATACTGTTTCTCTCTGGGTGGATCATAGATCTAATCTTTTTATGCTCAAAACAGAGAATAAGGGTGAATATCTGACTCTGAACATTCCTATAGCATTTTTCAGATTCTGAATTTTTGTTAGTGATGCTTGAGTTGTGTGATTTTGCTGGAAGTTTCAGCTTCCATCACTAGTCTGTTGTTGATGCGGGAGCTGTGGTGATGAGAGCACCATATAGAGCCTAATGTTAAACAGCCCCAGGGCTCTGCCACTTCACAATTTTCATAATTGATTGATCAGCAGATAAATTACAGTCTGGATTTCAACTCTGATAGATTTCAGAAGTGATGTTATGTGAGGAGCTTTTAATTCCTCCCCACCCGACACGCACACCAATTTATAAAATGTTATGCTACCGGGAAAAATTGAGTTACAGCAATAACTCCAGTCACACTAGGAAAAGAGCTTGCTCTTATTCTTGGTACAGGACTGAACTTGGGGAGGGGGGAGATCTGCTGTGCTAAAATCTTGAACTTTATTCTTTTTCTGTTTGCACAGAAGTAGCCATTTCTACATCCCATGCAAATTTTTGGATAGGTGCCATATTTACAGATCAATATTACTGCCAAAAAACTGGGGAGAGGGAATTATCTTTTCATGCTGTGGATGAAGAAGCAGAAAACCTGGTAAATGCAGTCTGACTTCCATGATCTTACATGTGTATGGATCTTGATATGAACTAAGGAATAGATTTCATTCACACTCAATGGCCCCTATATTCAGACTTTGCTTTCCTTTCATTTGTGCAATATGAACATAAGTGCAAGAAAAACAAAGTTTGACTATACAGGGACCACATTCACAGCAGTTAGTAGCATGCTGTGAAAGGAAAATCTCTCCTCCCACTTTACAAACTAACTTTATAGAACAACCTGATCCAATAGCAATCCTCCTTCAAAATGTGGATTGGGAAAGTGAGCCCCGGAATTATAGGGACAGCCGGCTTCCTCACCCTCTCCAACCACCTCTCCTCAAGTTCCTGAAATGAGATCCATGAATAGTGATAATTCTTCTTCCTTAAACCATACCCATAATGCAGTTGTGAAGCACTTGGCCTCAGGAATGGGGCCTGGGGAAGAGATTAGATCAAAGAAATTGTTATGTGGGTGACTGGGTTTCTCTCATAACGAAGTTGTTCAAATAGTTCATCTTCCTCTTTCCTGCTCCGTTTGTTTTAAGTTTGTCTGTCGATGGGACACTGATTTGCAAGGATAATGTGACAGTATCAATCCGCCTGGTTCTGCACACACATCATCCCTGGCACACAGTTACCTGAGTGTTTCCTGAGTTCCTCACAACACC